CAGAAGGGCAGCCCAGGGAGCGGCGGGAGAGCGGGCCAGTGGCTGGGCGCGGGGAGGAGCCGGCCCTGGAGCAGGACACAGAACCATGGCCTTTACTGTCAATACGAGGTAAATGGGGCAGTGGCATCATTTCATTTTGGTTTTTTAAAACACTGCTCTCTTTGCTTTAAACACGGTGAATCATTAAACACGGTGATGGATTAAGAGGTCAAGCTAAAAAGCTTCTGCACAGCAAAGGAAACCACAAACACAATGAAAAGGGAACCCACTGTAAGGGAGAACATATTCACCAATGATACATCTGATAAGGGGTTAATTTCCAAAATATATAAAGAACCTACACAACTCAACACCAGGAAGACAAACAATCCAATTAAAAAGTGGGCAAAGGACCTGAACAGACATTTCTCCATAGAGGACATACAGATGGCCAACAGACATATGAAGAAATGATCAATGATTATTAATCATCAGAGAAATGCAAATTAAAACTGAAATGAGATATCACTTCACACCTGCCAGAATGGCCGCCATCAATAAATCATCAAAAAACAAGTGCTGATGAGGGTGTGGAGAAAAGGGGACTCTACTACACTGCTGGTGGGAATGCAGAGGTGCAGCCACTATGGAAAACAATGTGGTGTTTCCTCAAAAAGTTAAAAATGGAACTGCCATTTGACCCAGTGATCCCACTTCTAGGAATACACCCTAAGAAGCCTGAAACACCAATCAGGAAGAATATATGACCCCCTATGTTCATAGCAGCACTATTTACAATAGCTAAGATCTGGAAACAGCTCAAGTGCCCACCAGCAGATGAGTGGATAAAAAAGCTGTGTACATTCATACAACGGAGTACTATGGGGCTGTAAGAAAGAGGAACTCTTAGCCTCTGGGACAGCATGGAGGGACCCAGAGAGTATCATGCTAAGCAAAACAAGCATTAGTGATCTCACCAATATGTGGAATTTAGTGAACAAAATAAACTGATGAACAGAATGGGACCAGAAGCACGGGAACCTGGAACAGACTGGCTGGTGCCCGAGGGGGTGGGCGACTGGATAAAGAAGGCGAAGGGATGAGTTGAAGAACACACATGCACACCCGGTGAGCAGGGACAATGGTGTGGTGACGGCTAAGGGGTGGGGGGGGGGGGTGGAGGTGAGACACCTACAATAATGTCAGCATTAAACTTTTTAATAACAACAAAACAACAACAATAATAATAATAGTGAAAGAAGACAGCCTGGGCTGGGGTCACGGCAGAGGGGATGGGAGCCTACAGGGTGCGTGTCAGGACCCTACTGCGGCTTCTCAGGCACTTTCTCTGCCACCCGAGGGGACCGAGGAAGAGCCCATGAAGCTCCTGGCGTTCACTCTCCGGACTCGCCCACGTCTCTGCGGCTTCAGCAGCCAGTGTCCACCCGCGGGAACCCTGCACGTCTCTGCCCACCCTCCCTGCACCGACGAGTCCGCGTGACCTCCAGAACCATGCAGCACCGACCTTCGGAGGCAGAACTTGGACCTGACCACCACTGTTCTTCCACACGCGGAATCTCTTCTGCAACATTTCACGGGAACTCAAGGCACGGCTGACCCGGAGAGAATGTTAAGTAACGTGGCCTTTATTCACTAACCTCTCGAGTCACCTTGTCAAGGGGCTTCGGGCACTGATCTCCCCCTTTTCTGGCTGTTCTATAACCTCTAGCCTCTCTCTCTAGCTCAGTCCTACTGTGTGGTCCTGTGATGCACCCTTCGCCGGAGAACTTACTCTCACTATAATCTGTGCCTTGAGTTTCCCTTGAACTATAGCGAGAGAATCAAGCAAGTATTTCTTGACTACCAACTTCATTTGAGGTACAGAGATCTATTTAAAAGCCATATGAGCACCCCTTCCTTGAATTTAAGCCTAGTGCTCCCCAAACATTCTCAGCTTTTTCACAATTTGGCTCCGCACAGCCCACGGGACACAGCAGCCACTCGCCACTGAAAAAGCCACGGGGCACCTCGGCCTCCTGCCACGCCGCCTGCCGAGTTATCCCTGCTCCTCCTTCAGCCTCAGTCCTCCCGTTCAACACCGCTTTCGCCACTCATCCTCCTTCGTCAGAGCTAAAGAACCTTTGTGTCTTGACTCCGTGAGAATGGCGATGCGTGTGGACGTCCGGTTACAGCGGCCCCTGCGTGAGCCCAGCCTGTGCGCCGTGGCTGCAGAGTGGGAAGGGGTGGCTCAGGGGGCTTCCAGCTCGGTTCTCCGTCCCCTTCGTCTCGAGCCCTGCCCCCATGCGGGAGATTGTGAGACAGGTTATTTCACCATGTGCAAAGCTTTTAAAAATACGTATGACCCGTGACGGCTCCTTTGATGTGCACAGAGGACTCGGTTAGGAAAATGAACTCGCACAAGTCATTTGACATCCCGTGTCTCAATTTCCTCGTCTATAAAGTGGGAACAGTGATACGTCTTCTGCACCAGCACCGCATTGATGTCACACCTGAACGAGAAGGCGTGTAGAGACAAGACAGGTTGTGCTATTCACAATACAAAGGATGCTTATTTGGACCCGGTAGAAAATCACACCCACGAAGCTGTTCCCAGAACAAAAGTTTACTTCCCCGCGCCCGTGATTCTTCCTCTACAGTTCATGTAAGGGTCCAAAGTTACTGCTCTCCTGTCTCCGTGTTAGCTGGGTGGCTGAGCGCACGGGGCTCATGTCTGAAACAGCACCGGAGGGACACCTGGAGGAGGGAGCTCACCCTGGGGATGTTCTCGTGTCAGCCTGTCCACGTAAACACAGGAAATCAACTCATTTAAACCACTTGGGAGGAGACAAACCTGTGTTATCACAGTGTTCCTGAGCGCGGGCCAATGAAATATCGGTCTACTCACAAATTCCCGTCTATCATATTCCCTCCAAATGCACCTTAATTGTTTTCATATTTAAATGCCGAGAATCAACCATAGCAAATGCGCGTTGGCAGGCTGCTGGGAGTTTTCTGAAGACAAAGCAGGACGATGATGGCGTGTGGTGAATGATCGTGGGTTCCTATGCGCTCAGCAGAATCACCACCGGGTGAGGTCGGAAGAGGAGAAACAGCGCTCGTGTCTGGTCCAAAATCGACAGCACAGAAAACAGAACGGAGCCCAGAGAATGAAACACAGACTCACTACGAGTCTGCAGTGGCCACAGGTCATTAGTCTGAAAAGTCCGAATGTAACATTTGTTTACAAACAGAGTGTGAAAATCCTTCAGAATAACATCATCTGAAAGGTAATCTCGCTCCTCTTTGTACTTTCTCTCCAGGACAGTAATACGTTACTGCTTATGAACCCCCCGGACCCCCCTTTCTTCAGGGAAGCCGGGTCCCAGAGTTCCCCATGCCCGTCACTCTGTGCAGTGATTCCTCAGGGCTCACATTCAGAACTAATCAAAAGTGTCCATGTCTAATGCAGGAGTCTGTCCACAGTAGGAAAACCCCAACTTGTAACATGGCAGTACGAGCACATGCGTGTGGCACGGGTGCGAGCCTGGGAGGGGCAGAGGGGGACGGCCTGCAGCTGGGCCCCGCGCTGAGGGCGTGCGCCCTGTACGTTACCGAGGAACACTCGGCTGCTCTTCCGGGGCCCCCAGAACCCTCAGACTAACAGCTGTGGCCATGAGGGCAGTGTAGTGCCAAACTCCCCCTTGACTTTCCCACCACCTTACCCTCACACTGGGTTGGTGCCTGTTACTGAGAGAAACTCAGTTCCTCATCTAAGTGCTACTTCAAAGGCTAAAAAAGAGAAGGAATATAAGCAGGATAGAAGTACAGGAACGTGTCTAATAAGAGGCGGGTTACCACCCACCGCTGGATGGAGCTTCAGCTCCGGCCTGAGCAACCTGATTTCCTTCTTGGCCCCCAGGGAGCTGACTAGACACTTGGCTACCCCCGACTCCAGTCCTGGGGGAGCAGAGACCAGGCTGAATGGACATTGTAACCCTCTTTCTTTTGTGGTGCCCCCACTAAATCGTGCCTGCTCAGTTTATCTGTTTTTATTTTGTCTTGAATCTTTATCACAAGTTATCTGAGGCCGGATGAATGACAACCCTGAAATCCAGTTTCTCAGTAACAGAGACAGATCAATTTTCAGAGTCACTGTAAACAGTCAACGATATCATTGCTTTCAATCAATATTATTTCAGAAAATTACTGAATTCGTTGAGTATAGACGTGATAATGGTAGGCTAACGGTCCCCCCAAAAGGCACACATCGTAGTCCCTGGAACCTGAAAATAAGATGCTTACACGCCAATAGCAGATGTACCTGAATTAAACACCCGGAGGTGGGACCATCCGGGTCGCCCAGGGGGCCCAGGGCCCTCGCACTCCTACAGGGGGAGGGTAGGAAGTGAGGGTCTGACGGGCGCAGAGGTCAGAGACTCGTGTGACCATGTGGGCCGCCAGCCTGGACGACGGAGGAAGGACTCGTGAGCCGAGCGATCTGGGAGCCTCTAGAGCCGCGGTTCTCAACCTCCCTGATGCCGCGACCCTGTAATACAGTCCTCGTGTTGCGGTGACCCCGACCATAAAATTATATTCATTGCTACTTCACAACTGTAACTTTGCTACTGTTATGTCTTAGGTGACCCCTGTGAAAGGGTCGTTTGATCCCCAAAGGGGTCGTGACCCGCAGGTTGAGAACCGCCGCCCTAGAAGCTGGCCGTGGGGGAAGGTTCTGCCTGGAGCCCCCACGAGGAACGCAGCTCCCTCTAGTCTGAGTGAAGTCTCCTGAGACCCGTCTGGATTTGACCTCCCAAACGCCGAGATAGCAGAGGTGTTATTCTAGGAGGCTAGTTTGTGGTGACTGGTTACTACAGCAATTGAAACTGACCACAGCTGAAACTTGATGAAAATTTTAACAAATACAGTCATAATTTATAATCTACCTATCAAATATCACACATTTTAAGTTTCCCTATCTGTATATCGAAGTCATTAGCAAACACCAACATCTTCTGCGCCGCCAGTCGTGAAGGTGACGGGGGGAAGCCTGTGCTAGGAATGCTGACATCAGACTTCCAGATCGGCTCTCAGCCGGGGGGCTGTGTGGTTTGTGGGTGTCATCCTGGGTCTCAGTCATCTCATTGGAAAATCCGGCCTAGACAAACGACGGCATGCCGTTGGACGTTATGATGCTCTCCTGACTGTTCCAAAATCTAAGCAAAGGACAAGGCACTCATCCTGTCCAGCTTGTACGTCACAGAAAGGGTCATTTGCTGGCACTTACTATGAGAATCCATAAACATATCCAGATGTGGTAGAACAGTTTTTCCTCAGGGGGCTGGCCCTGCAGGTCATCCACACTTCCCCGTCCTCGCTGGCAGTGAGCTCACAGATAAAGGAAGAAGGCACAGGCACCTCCTACCTCTGGCCAGGACACACTTCAGGGGTCTGTGCAGTCAGAGCCCCGCGCCGGGTCTCCCCTCAGTCCGCACCCTGCCAGCCAGGCGACTCCACCTGGCTGCCCTGGCTGACTCCCCTCTGTCAGGGCTGCCCTGGTGCTTCGTCGGAGAACAGAAACCTACAAAATGATACATCTTAGGCATATCGATGAAAAAATCCTCAACAAAACACTGGGAAACTGAATGCAGAACACATAAAAAGAACTGCACATCATGACCAAGTGGAATTTACCCCAGAGATGTAAGCTGGTTTTACCATCTGAAATTCAATTAACACATACACCATATATGTATTATATCAGTAGAATTTTTTTTTTTAATTCACATGATCATTTTTTTTCTTTACTGATTTTCAGAGAGAAGAAGGGAGAGGGAGAGAGACAGAAACATGATAAAAACACTCAACAAACCAGGGACAGAATGGACTTCCATCAGTCTGATAAAGGACACCTATAAAAACTGACAGGTGACATCATACCGGATGTGAAAGACTGAAGGCTTCCCTCCCACGGTCAGAACAGGAGAAGGAGGTCCAAGGCTTTCAGAACTACTTGAACACTCCTTCAATACTACTTGAGTACTACTCGCTACTGTCCTGGAGACTCTATCCAGGGTCGCCCAGATTAGAAAAGCACAAGTGACACCTCTGTTTACAGGTCACACGAGTTTGTCTGCAGAGAGTCCTGAGAAACCCACTGAAACACCATTAGTGCTAATAAATAAGTTCAGCAGAGTTGCAAGACACAAATCAATTGATAAAAATAAAAATCTGCTATTTCTGTACATAATCCAAAAATGAAATTAAGGAAACACTCCATTTACAATAGCATTGAAACAATACAATATTTAGGTGTAAATTTAACAAAATATGTGGGAAACTTATACTATGGGGAAAAAAACTTTGTTGAAAGAAAATAATGATCTAAATAAATTAAAAGCATCCCAAGTTCATGGATTAGAAGACTTATCATTATTGAGATGGCTGTACTTCCCAAACTGATTTATAGATTCAACATAATCCCTATCAGAAACCTAGCAGATTTCTTTGTAGAAATCAACAAATTAATTCTGTACCCTTACCTCACACTATATACAAATAATAATAATAATTCACAAGTGATCCAAGACCTAAATGTATAAGGAATAAAAAAAAAAACTCTTAGAAGAAAACACAGAAGTAAATCTTCAAGACACTGAATTCTTAGCTATGACACCAAAAGCATGGACAACAAAAGGAAAAATAAATTGGGCTTCCTCAAAATTAAAATGATTGTGTTTCAAAGAATACCATTAAGAAGGTAGGAGAAAAAGAGTCCACAGAATGGGAGAAAATATATGTAAATCTTAGTTGAGGGAGCTGTATCTAGAATATATAAAGAACTCTAACAACTCAATACTAACAAGACAAATAACCCACTGTTAAAAGAGTAAGTGGATCTCCACCCAAGGTATACAGATGGCCAATAAAAACCTGGAAAAAAAAATGTTCCACATCATTAGTCATCAGGCAACCACACATCCAAATCAAACTGAGATAGCACTTCATACCCACTGGGTTGGTTAAAAATCAGAGTCAGATAAACATAAATGTTGACAAGAATGGGGAAGAATAAGATCATTCACACACTGCTAGTAGGATGTAAAATGGGGCAGCTCCTTGAGAAAGAGTCCAACAGTTCTCCAATAACTAGACATCAAGTTACCACCTGACCTGCAACTCCTCTCCTAGGTAGACAACCTTGAGAAATGAAAGCAGGTCCACACAGAAACTGTACATGGACGTTTATAGCAGCATTACTCACAATAGACAAAAGGTCGAAATAATCCAAGTGTTCATTAATGGACAAATAAACAAAATGTGGGATAGCCACACAGTGGAATATGAGTTGACTATAGAAAGAAATGAAATGCTGATAAATTCTATAACATGGGTGAATTTTTAAAACATAGGCTAAGTGAAAGAAGCCAGTCACAAAAATCCATATGTTATATGAGTCTATTGTTATATGAAAGTCTAGAATGAAGAAATCTACAGAGACAGAAGAAGGTAGCTTAGTGGTTACTCAGGGCTGGGGGACAGGCATGGTGGGGACAGGAAGGAGGAGTATTTGGGTGGTAGCTTTCTTTTGGAGGTGCTAAATGTTCTGAATATGACTGGTGATGGCTGCCCATATCTGTGAATACACTAGACACCATTTAATTATCTACTTTAAATGGGTGAGTTTTTTTTTTCTTTCTTTGTTTTCTTTATTGATTCTAGAGAAAGAGGAAGGGGGAGATAGAAACATCAATGAGCCCTGGCCAATTTGGCTCAGTGGTTAGAGCATTGGCCCATGGACCAGAGAGACTCAGGTTTGGTTCCCGCTAACGGTATGTACCTCTGTTGCAGTTTGTCCCCAGCCCCGGTTGGGGTCATGTGGGTGGCAACCACTCGATGTGTCTCTCTCACATGGATGTTTCTCTATCTCTCTCTCTCTCTCTCTCTCTCCCTCTCTCCTCTTCCACCTTCTCACCCTCCCTCTCTATCTTAAGATAAATGCAAAAATGTCCTCAGGTGAGGAGTAAAAAAAAAAAGAAGAAACATCGATGAGAGAGAACATCGACTGGCCGCCTCCTGTATGCCCCCCACTGGGGATCAGGCCTACAACCTGGGCATGTGCCCTGATGGAGAATCAAACTGGTGACCTTTGGTACATGGGTTGATGCTTAACTACTGAACCACACTGGTTGGGCTAAATGGGTGAGTTTTATAGTATGTTAATTACATCTCAATAAAACTGCTGAAGCTGAATGCCGTTCCCTTCTAGTTTGGTTTACTAGTACAGAATGACCTCTTGCCTTCTAGAACAATCTAGCGGTCTGGTTTCTTCTGCTTAAATGGCTCAGAGTCATGGCCATGAGCCTTTTTAGTATATAAATCCGACCTGTGCTCCAGGGTTCCCTCTTACCTGCTTCACGAAGCCAGAGTTGAGTGGTGTTTTTGGATAACACATTTCACTTTTTTTAAAAGACCACAAAAGACTGTGATCCTTTAAACATCTTTGATGATCACAGTTTCGTTTGTTCAAAAATACTTTTCTAAAGGGTGAAATAATGACTCAAACACATATAAAATAGACACATTACAGATTTCATTCTAAGTCGTTAATTAGTAAGAAGTTAAGATGTAAAACACTGGCTCAGAGGAGACACCGACCACAGTCCTGTGCAGACCCAACCACGACTGCGGGAACGGAGCTGCCACTAGACAGAACACCGCCGCTCCCAGAGGAGGAGGGCCCGCTGGCTTTCCACGGGCAAAGTTCAGCTGACTCACAGAGCAGGAGCCATGCTCCGACCAGGCAACTTCTACCTCCGCAGGGCTACAGAGTGAAGACCAAGTGTCCAGTGGCACAGAGAGCCCCGGAAGGGACCTCCACAAAGGACACACAGGACACTGGGAAACACCAGGAATCTCCGCCCACTGCAGGTTTTCATGACAGGTGTGAATGCTATGTCTGCGCATAAGGTTTGACAATTATGTTTTTATTCTATCTGATCAACTATGTTTTCTCAGTTTTAATATGTGCATTTCCCCCACATCTCTGCAAGTTTAAATCGTAGCATTTTTTTCTTAGTTACATAAAATAAGAAACGCATCTGAGAATTGATGACTTCTTAGATGTGATCAAATGCAGTCATTTAACCAACTTTAAGAGGCAAACTTCAATTACATGTTCTCTGGGGAAGACGAAGGGCAAGGAGTGAAAACTTCAGTCCCTGAAGCATATGTTTCATAGAGAAGTTTTAACATCTTTAATTCAATTCAAAGTGGGTCACTATCCACAAGTTAAGATACAAAGGACATTATCCTTGAATCAGACAGGAATAGTGACATCAGTTTCAGAGAGATTATGACCTAAGGGGACATCGCTCTTGTTGAACCATGAGAACTGACTACAGTCAGTTGTACATCATAATAGTGGAGTGAGAATTAAGAGGGGTCCTTCCTGCATCAGTGTTCTTACCAGGTGTACCTTTACAGGTACACGGACTGTGTGTCCCTTGTTAGGGTGACACACAGGAACTCTCAGAGAACTCCTGCCTATACCCTTAGTACAAATTATTTCCCACAGAGATGAGAAAATCTTCTCACACTCTTTGCACATTCTTTCTTTCTTTCTTTCAAAACTCACCCGGGTTAAAAGATTTGAAATGCTTTCGGCCAATGCTATAAAAGTAGTTTATTCTGTCATTAATTACTAGACTTCTTTGAAAAAACACAAAAGAGGGAACAATGACCACATAATTTCAAACTCAATGTGAGCATTCTAAATTGGAGGCCTGGGAAAATGGAGGGCAACGCCATTTATTTATTTTTTAATCCTCGCCGGAGGATATTTTTTTTTTCCCCCTTTATTTTTTATTTCAGAGAGAAACACCGATTGGTTGCCTCCCGTACGTGCCCTGAAATCGAACCCACAACCTCTTGGTGTACAGGACGGTGCTCCAACCAACTGAGCCACACCAGCCAGGACAAAGAGCAACTCCGTTTAATATTTTTCTTAGGGAAAAGCGTGGAGAAATCAAGTTCTGTCCCTGAGAACTTTTATTTTTTCTCCTAATGACTTTCCACTTCCCACCATGATCTCCTCTTTCTTCTCTCCTTCACCTTCTCCGGCTACAGCTCCCTTCCTCTTGTCTTCTTCTTTATCCTGAATTCATCTTAGTGGTTTTTTAAACATCAACTTATTTTACATGGAAAGTCTTTCATTTATTAATTGGAAACAAAAAAAAAATAGCACTGAAGACTTCAATTCAAATTTTGAGCGCATCAACTCCTAATGTGACTTTGGGCAAATCCCCAACTAGAGTTTGAACTTGTCTTTGTCTGAAAAACGAGGCTATCCGGAACACCCTCAGGATCAGTGAATTACACCAGCTGTCGGAGCTAAGGAAAACCAACTGGGACAAAAAAGAAAGGATGCACTTAACCATTTTGTAGTAACACTGAAGACTACCGGAGAAAGACATAAGAAAGCGTTAAAGACAAATGATAAACTATTATTTAACAGCAGCAACAGAAACCCGTGAGAGTACCTGAAAGTTAAAATACATTTTTATTACATTTATAGCGAAG